AGTGGATAACGCTTTAGTGTTTGAAACTATGGGCACTGGATTCGAGGCTCGGTGGAAACATCATCAATCACTGGGAAATACAGGTACATCCAGTGACGACTCCCAAATAGGACGAGATGCGCGTTATTGTGGATTCCAGTGCTAGTCACCATCTACCAAGTAACTTCTAAATAGACATCGTAGAGGCATCTGCACAAGAAGTCGACATGTCAACCTGAGACCGAGCGCTTTGGTCCAATCAATCGACGGGAAAATCTAAAATTGAATTAAATTAAGTAAATTACACTTAAACTTATCCTGTTCAAGGGTTATTAACCTTTCTATCATCATGGGCTTGGAGGAATAATTGTCAGACGGGTAGAAGGCGCAACATCAAGAACATTTCGAGCCACCAAGCCGATTTTTCTTTATAAGGTCACCTGTTGAACTACACAGTCGAAGCTGTACCGATTTCTGGCTATTACTAACTCCACATCTGATAGAAGGCCAGTTATAAAAGCTCAAGAGTACACTTTGAGACCCAATAGAAAAGTGAGGAACAGTTATCTCATGTACTGGGATAAGTTACTACCCATGATTAAACTTTTTCTCAAGTTTAGTAGGACTTGTGAATCAACAGGCTGTAAATAGTTTAAATACTCGCGAGAGTAAATAATATCATTAGGGGTCATATTTTAATAGACTAAAACAAAATGAACATGAGAAACCATATGCAATACAATGATGGAGACTTCTGGTAGCCCAAGTTGTAAGCAGGCTGACGACATGCGTTAGCAATAGCATAAGAATAACAAGGAGACTATTGTGTAGTACAATTATTATTGAACATGTGCCTAAGAGTCTATGTCTTAGACTATTGACTTCATTTTACAGCATCATTACTCAACAGCTATCTGATATAGAGTATATCATCAATGTATCAACCTAATATCCTGCGTCAGTTAGTTGTTGCGTGACTGCACTGCTTAAATATTCACCCAGCCTTTATCGCATGTGTTATTTTATCAAAAAACACCATACTGTTATCAATACATATATAACTGCATACTAAGTTTCTGTTTTTATAAATGAATGAATTAAAAAATGTGAAAATCTGTAAAACAGTTTAGTCGAAGAACTCTACTTAACTGAATATCAGTTTCATCTATTAAGATTTCATATCACCAAAACAATATAGATTTGATGAGGAACGCAGAAAATCAAAATAATGGTGTGAGAAAAATAAATAAGGTAGTAAAAAGTGTTACTATAAGAAATATTTATCAATAATTTGGATCTGAATCACATATGGATCTACCTTTTGTAAAGAGGGGACTTCTACTGTTACTAACCACCACTAGTCTTTTACTTTGATAATTATTCGAGTAACTGATAGTGAGGCCGTGCATGACAATGATTAGCTGGTGGTGACAGGAGATGAAGAGTAAATCTGTGTCGCGTCAGGATTCGAACTAACAGTCTCCTAATTAGTAGTCCAGCGCTCTACCAGCTGAGCGATGAGACATAACTGCTAATCAAGTCGTTATTTTACTCAAAGCACTTTGTGTTGACGCAGATTTTCATATCCTCTTCAACCATCACTGACTACATTAATAGTGTGATTAATATACACACTTTATCTATTGGCTTTCTCATAGTCCATTCCAATTACTTATAAGGAATCGACTAATTTCAGAATATTTTCCAATATATCCATTGTGTTAGTATCAATAAATTGTAGACTGATTTACATCTGAATGCAGTATTTGTATGGGAACCAAGTGAATCAGTGGCCGTTATCCTTAAGGATTCAGTGACATGTACATAGTGGTTGAAACCCACCGCCAATGTAAAACCTAATGTCTGAACAATAAGTAAATGATGATATTAGATGGTTGGAGGCGATCGGCAGGAAGCCTTGGACATAGGTTTCGTGCTAGTTGGCACTCGTCAGCAAGGCGTATCTGCAACCTTGAAGGAACTCATGTCCCTCCTGAGATTCAAGGTTGCAGATACGCCTTGCTGACGAGCGCCAACTAGCACGAAACCTAGGTCCAAGGCTTCCTGCCGATTGCCTCCAACCATCTAATATCATCACAAACAATGTACACTGTGATGGCGAGCTACCTAGAATGGTGGCCACATTACAACCTGACTGATAGAATTCAGTCTGCACCAAAGAGAGGACTAGACGCATCACACTAGTTACTAGTGTCAAATCAAAATAAGTGAATGATTACAACATTAAGAAATGGGGAACAGTTAAGGTCATGTGCTGCATGGAAATTTAGGTAGCCTGGTGATTCAAGCATCGGTTGACGTAATCTAAGCTCTGTTGGTTCAATAAACACTAAGTACGTAGACCTAGAAGACAAGATATGTTATGAGAGCAACTGAAAATTGAAAAATTCACTAAATAGCCTAGAGTTTTTGAAATAATAGAGAAGATTTTTAGCTCAGGTGGATGATTTGCAATTAGTAGTGTTCTCCAAGCTGGTTGGTTTAGTTGCGGAGCTAAACCAACTAGCAACTAAACCAACCAGCTCAGAGAACACTACTAATTGCAAAAGCCTAGAGTTTTCTTCAAAATATTACTCAATTTACAAGGATTGTAAAGTTGCATCAAAACAATATGATATAATGCCTTCTTACTTGATATCTGAATAGTTTTCATATTTTTCTACTGCATATCGCTTGGCTATTGGTATTTTAATCAATAGTATTAAAACCTCTGTGTGCCTGAAACGTTTTGTGTGATAATCATCCCTTCCGTGATTAGTAAAGACCTAATCACCTAATGTGCCATCACCCGGCCGTCTATTTTTATTCATTTTGTTGCCCTATTTTGTCATTAGTTCCTTAGTCTTATTGTATCTTCATTAAAACATCTACTTTTCTTAAAGTCCAGCATTACATGATCTTATTATTTAGATATCCATGATAAAATGCGGAACTTGCCTGAAAAATGTGATGTGCGGCATGTTGAAATATGCTGAGGTGATGGCCACTCATTAAATTAAGCCATCTCCATGCGTGTACAAAAATAAATCACTATTACACTTAATCATTTCGCAGAAGCCATTGCTATCAGAAGACTTCGACCCAACTTCTGTATACAGAAAGGTAGTGTGACTAATCTCTCACTACCGCAGTAACTGTAATTATTTTATTCGTGTGATTTTGTGTTTCCTCTTGTTAGGTAATTCTGATTCTTTATATGAGTCTAACCACGGATTGATAACAGTTAGAGAAGCATTGAAAACCAGGGAGTACTGGACAGCTGTTTTGTCCTAGTTTGGGAATCATCGGCAGTACGCACCCACTGGGGTTGAATGGGTGACTGAATGGTATACGAGCTTGCCTTGTAACCGGAAGGTCCTGGGTTCGAAGCCCAGTGGGCGCATACTGCCGATGATTCCCAAACTAGGATGAAACAGCTGTCCAGTACTCCCTGGTTTTCAATGCTTCTCTAACTGATATCAATCCGTGGTCAAACTCCTAAAAACAAATCTAATCCTTACAAACCAAACTCTTGAAAATTTTGATTCTGACTTTCACTTACTGAGCTGAACTCACCACTAGTAGTTTTCCAAATTTACTTAAATATTTGCCTGTCATCATTTTTGCTTTACTATTCACTCTCAACCTGTTCAGCTTTGCATCACATTATGTATAAACTCATTCTGTTGTTCGATATTGTATTTTGTCTCGAGTCAATCCTTGTTTCCAAGTAAGATATGAAATCTACTCCTCTCTACTTTAAAACGTTAGCCTTTTAAGATTGATTAACCTGTCCATATGCATCATTTTTGGAATTATGTTGCTTATACTTTCTATCTAAAGCCCAAAGTCATTGTTAGAAAAGGTACTTTCATAAATTTTGTAACTGGTAATTTTATTTTGTTTAGGATGTATGCAGTTGGAAAGAATCTACAAAACAAAACGAGGTTGTACTATCCTGAAAATATGTCCGTTTTTTTCGTTCAAAGTAATAATGGAAACCGGTTGTATGATGTTCAAACGATTAATCTACCCTGGTCATTCTTATCCGGTTAACTTATGAAGAGTAGTGTCAGTTATAATCTCCCTTACTCTCGAATCCCATTTTATTTTGTTTGTTTTACTTGATGTTTGGTTATTTTCCACTCTTATATAAATTGAATTGACAAGCAAATGTGTGTTTGAAATGTGTTGCACAAGTACACCACACTCTCCAGATGAACTCCATCGTTTAATAACCGTATCTGAATTTACTATACAGACTTGTTTGAACATTTATTTGTATAACCATGCTGCTTTTGCTATTTTTATTATCACATATTTCTTCATTGTTCATTATTTTTTAACAGCATCACTATTACTATTATAACTAAATGCACGATTTATACGCACTGTCAAATCATCCCATTGACATATAATCATAATTAATTTATGCGTAACACTGACTTCAAATTCTCAGCTTGCAAAGTACACATGTCAAGAGGAAATTTCACAATAGATACTTCTGGAAAGTATCTAGCCATGATTCGAGTAGTTTTGAACTGATTCAGCTCTCTAAGCTCGGTGGAACTGATCACGCCGCTGATGAGCTCGACTGTGAATCAACGAAAAACAACTGTTTAGAGTTTAGATCACTTCAGTCTGACTGAGAGGCACTAGCCATTGATGTGATTGGATTCCAACTACTCATATGAGTCAGTAGTGTATTCTGCCGTAGCATTCATTCGCCAAGTTACGTCTGAATGTATCAACAGTAGGTTTTTTTTTCCTTCACGTTCCCCAGTGGAACATAGGGCATCAAGCTAGTGGCTTGAAGTTTCTGTAGCAGTGTTTATTTTACAGAATGGGGTTGCTAGCCTCATGCCCAACCTTTCCTCTATACCAGCATTATTTCTGGCTTAGCGAGGTAAAGGAGTGCGTCGGCCGGGGATCGAACCCCGGACCAAGTGCATGGTCGGCGAGCGTCCTAACCGCTATGCCACCAACGCACTTCGACAGTAGGTAAGAAAAAATATTATTTCGTTTTAAATAGTTTATTTGCATTGTAATCAGTGATTCTATCTGTTAAGTTACATAATTAGATTGACTGAGCTGACTGTCTTCCTTTTTGAAATTATTGTTGTTCAGTGTTCAATATGGAAGTGGCAGAGTAAAACAAAAACAAGAAAAAAGAAGCAAAAATGAAGATAAACATAATAAAAAAAGGATTGAACTGTCTTTCAGAGTGTTGTAAAACTAGTTACTATAGGAATCTGTGCAGGTGGTAAAGTTTCATTCATTGTTTGTTGTTGTATACAATAATGTCTGGAAAGATCTGTTAAATTTTTCTCTGATTTATTATACTGTTCATTAGGAATATGTTGAATAATTGAATTAGGTATAAAATGTGTAGATGGTATGTTGATTGGTATTGCTTGAAGATGTTGTTGGCTCTGGTGTTGTTGCTGCTGCTGCTGGTGGTATTGTTGTGACTGTTGATGTTGCAATTGATTCTGACTGTTCACTTGACGTCTTCTTTCAAGCAGCTGTTTTCTATGTTCACTTAACTTTCGACTCTGATGAAATGTAATCATAATAACAAGAATTAAAAAGCAAACAAATAAGCCTATTGCAGTTACTAGTCCAAGAAGTACACCTATGCCTGTGAGCTCATTCTCAACCGGTGGATCTCTATAATTGTAGTCGAAATCATTTGATGCGGAATGACCTCTAGTAAAATCAAGATTATTTTTTGACGATTTATTCCAGATTGTATTTTTTGTCTGTACAGAGTTGGATGATTCTTTATGATTGTTAGGAGGATAAAATGGAGGAGTGAATAGAATTCTTAGAATTGTTGAAGATTTCAACTGAGGTTCACCATTATCTGTAACCTAGAATTTATGGATATTCAAGAGAAGAAAGAGAATTAAAATAATCAGCTTTCAAAATGTGTTAATTTTATGTACTTTTGCAGAAAAGGATTATCTTCTAGTTTCGACACATTGCTTTCGAACAAAACAAAGAATTTGTAAAGTAAATGCATATTATAGACAACAAGATTTATCAAGTTAGGCGTGTTGTTGCCCAGGAAAAATCACAGTGAACGTTCATAATATATTGAACCATGCGTTCAGTTCACTGTTTGTTAATAGTATAAGCTTTTCACCTCTTCTCATAACTACAACCACTTGTTCTTTGTTAGGTGGCCAGCTGCATCACCAGTTACATATCAACTTTCAGTGTTTCATTCAAACACGTCATACTATGTACTGTTTATAATAACCGTCTTAAGTAGTACATGAATCTCAATTTTACCTAAATTTTTCTCATGGTTAAACCAATTAACTGTCCTAATTAGTTGAAGTGTTTACAAATGGGAATATGAAATAATACAGCAATGGAAAGACAAGCAGATAGACAAGATTATTTTCGTCTTTCAAAAGTAAGGGACATGATTCATATTGTAAATTAACGAAGTTGTGAAGTAGAGTAATGACGATTAGTTATTTCAGATCAAATTTTAGTGATTTTCAACCCTCAAACCTATGATAAGGCAGATAATTATTAATACGGAAACCTTGTAACTTGAATTTAATGTAAGACTTTTAGCTTGTAGGCAATGTGGCACTTTTACTCAAATGAGTTTCCCTTGATTTTTTTTATTCCACACGTTCGAGGTGAAACATTGGGCTTCAAGATTTCACGTTTTAATAAGGGTATTCCTCTAAATGAAATGTACACTTGAATTGTGGATAATCCTTCAACAACTTACACTATGCTTTTATTTACCCTTTTTGTTTCCGGTCAATTATTTTACCTTTTTCGAACTCTAACACTCCCCCGAATTCTTGCGTAATGTCACATTTCTTTCCTTTCTCTGTGGACCCTGATTACAACTCAACCATTAGATAACTTTTCGTATTGCACAACTCTGTCACCCTTATTCAACTTCTCTGATGTATCGGTTATTATTGTCGACTATGCTAATTACAGTCCATCATGTTGCTTACTATTCTCTTTTATGAGGAAAAGCTGTTTATAAATGCGATTTTTCAGCTGAAGAAAATGAAATTGCTACAAAGAGAGTATCTGTTGCATACAGCCTATAAGTTTCATCTGTCAACAGGTATATTGTAAGAACGTCATAGTGAGATAAAAATCAGGGTGATAAGGTACCTGAAGTACCACAATGTACATATATATCTTGTTAGAAAGAAGTTTCTCGAAAAAATAATCGACGGATTTATTGTTAGGGTGGTAAGAAAAAATTAGTACCAATTACGTAGTTAGGCAAGAGAAGATCCCCATTTGGTTTGCAAGAGGTCATATGAAAAAGACAAAGATTAAATATGGTGAGTAGAACTCAGAAGGTCGAGAAGAATTATCTCTTATGGAAGTCAAACGGAAAGAAAGGGCGGTTGAAAAGATAAGTTAATGAAATTAGAAAACGAAAAGCAACTAAAGGATGAATCACCCGGGTAACTGAAGTCCAACGACAGAAACCCTTTGGACACATCGATCAGGTTTCAAACGGTTTATTGCGACAGCCTCAGCAAACTGAAGAAGACTTAAGCTATTTTGTCTGTTATGTTGAATGATCCCCGAGAGTCTGCTAAGTATCCGCAGGTACATGGGAATTGGTATACACAGATAGAGGTAACATATGAGGGTTACTTGTCGATCTTTGACTACACTAACAGGGAGAACATTTCGGAGCAGAGAAACTAGTTTTGTTGCTGGATACATCCTGGACAGGGCTGCGCTTAGTATGTTGTTTATGAATCTCATAATATCATTACTGTGGTACACTGTAGTACTTCAGGTACCTTATGTAATGTAATACTTTTCCCTCTTATGATGTTAATGCTCTTAATTAGTCTTTTATACGCTGTCCTTCTATTATAACTACTTCTTATGTTACCAATCATGTAGCTGAAAACTTTCATGAATTTAATGCTCTCGATGTTCTAAAATGTCTTAAAACACTCAAGCCCTCACTTAGCCTTGGCCCTGATGGTATACCTGCATATGTTCTAAAACAATGTGCAGACGCTTTATGTTCTCCACTAACTAACATCCTAAATGCTTCTTTCTCCAAAAATGTTGTACCTCATGCATGGAAAGACATTAAAATAGTCCCTGTCCCTAAACCTGGAAACAGCAAGAACGTAAAGTTCAGACCCATTGCCGTCACTTCCCCGTTTCTAAAGCTTATGGAAAAACTAATACTTCTTAAACTTGAACCCCCCCTTAAAACCTTTGAAGACCCCAATTAATTTGCTTATAGACAGGGTAGGAGCACTTTAGACGCTGCAGCTGTCTTACACAACAACATCGTCTCATCATTAGATAAAGGTGCCAAATACGTCCGCTGCACGTTTCTTGACTTCACTTTGGCTTTCGTCTCTGTACCTAGATGTCTCTTGCTAAATAAGCTCTCTATGACAAAAATTGAGTCCTGGGTCACTAACTGGCTGAATTCCTACTTCTCTAACAGAAAGCAGTATACCGTATAAAAAGGTAAATCCTCCTCTGCTGCGCTCACTGAAGCTGATGTCCCCCAAGGTGCTGTACTCTCCCCACTTCTCTTTTATTTCTTTCTACATGACTTACCATCTTCAAATGACATTAATTTTGTCAAATATGCTGACGACCTGACTGTATCTTTGCCTGTCAAATGTCAAGGTGACTGCTCTAAACTTAATGGCTTCCTGTCAGAAATCAGCCAGTGGTCCAAGGAAAATGGTCTTACCTTAAACCCCTCCAAATGCCAAACAGTAAATTTCACCTTGAGGCATAAATCCAACCTAAACACACTGGTTTGCTCTCACCAGGTATGCAACATAGATGGCACTGAAATAGAAACCAAGTCGGAAATTAAATACCTAGGCGTCATTCTATCTGCTCATCTCATATCTTAGCGATTTCTAAGGATATATTCCGTCTTACCTTCTACATCAAGAAGTTAAAACATTCTGGAATAACCCAACCCTTACTCTTACGATTCGTTAACTCTTGGATCCTGCCTATTATTCTCTATTGTTCCCCCTTAGTTTTTCCAGGGCTACTGAAGAAAGACTATACTTTATTAAGCAGAGTTAGCAACGTGCCACTTAACCAGCTTGTTACTATTCTGGTCGACAGGCACATGGACTCATGTGAAAAATGGGCCAAATCCATTTTATCTAACTCACACCACCCTCTTCACTCACAACTCTCCTCTTGCACCTCATCAGGCAAAACCAGAAGCCTATATAGAAAACTATATGCCCGCACCAGCAAGTACAAAAACTCAGCCATACCCTACTTAGCCTGTGTTCTATGTGATAAAGAAAGCATTAGGCGTGACACCTATAACTTATTAAATAGTCAGTAGAACAACTGGATCTCGTCTTTCCAACTCATATCATTTATAGGTACTACATTTTCTTTCTTTCTTTTTCTATTCTCTCTCTCATTTTTTTCCGTTTTGTGCTGCCCTGTTTCTTTCTTCCGCTTACGCCAGTAAATATGTCAGCTCCTACTTTTCTAACACCTTCAAACACTGTACAGCTTTGGCTTTGCTACCGACATCCCAATATGTTGTTGTCATAATGAACTGAGATTGCCTTAATCTATGTAGAATTCTATTTATTGATAATGTACTAACTGGATGCAATACTGTAGTAAAAATGCTGAGAATTCCATTCTGTATCACAAGTACTGTTTTGGAATAAAGCAAATTATTATTATTATCATCCTGATTTTTTATCTCACTGTGACATCCTTACAATATACCTGTTGACAGACGAAACTTATAGAATGTATGCAACTGATGAGAACCAATGAAATGAACTGGATCCATGTTATTCTGTACCAATGTTTGTTCTTTCTCTGCTCCAAACTATGACGGTAATTAATTTCTAGCTTTTGTTTTGAAGGCTGTATAATTTATATTTATTGTATTTAACCTGTACCATGGTTGAGTGTTATCATTCAAGACGTGTTTATGTTTCCTTAATCGTACATGATTCTTATCTGTAACTATTTAATATGAGTTTCTGCATTCAGCCATCATCTTTAATTTGCTACACCTTCAAAACCCTTCACATCAGTTGCTTGTCACTGTCTAATTCTATACCTCATTTGGTTTATCACTTTATTTTCAAGAATTGATTTGTAGGGATTTGATTTGTTTTTCAAGTTTGATTGTTATCAGTTAGACAACCACTGAAAACCAGGTAGCAATAGACAGCTATTCAGTCCCAGTCTTGGACTCATCGGCAGTAAGCACCCACCGGGTTTCCATTCCAGGAGCTTTCGGTTACAAGTTAAGGCTACAGGACGGAGTTTCCTGGAGTTCTAGTGAGAAGTCGTGATCAGTGGCGTCCACCCTAACGGAAGTGAGAACAAATGCTTGCCTGTGACACTGGCTGGTTGTCGCGCTAAAATCACGAAGTTAGAAGTCAGAATTCACGAGTTGGCCAAGGAGTTACGTCCCAGTGGCTGAATGTTCAACCAGCCTGCTTTGCAACCGGAAGGTCCTGAGTTGGAAACCGGGTGGGTGCGTGTGGTGGATGAGTCCCGAAATAGGATGAAGCATCTGTCCAGTACTTCCTGGTTTTTAATGGTTCTCTAATTGATGTCAATCCGTTGTCAAATTTCATAAATGTATCACTTTATACTTTGTGTTCCTACTTTACGTGAAGCCAACTGTATACATTAACTGACAGATGCGCTGTGCTTAAATTTTATCCAACTTGATCATAATAAAAAAAATATTAAATTACTTACTGTAACAATCAAGCTATACGCCATTTGACTGTCATACATTCTCTTTTTTGATTCACTTCTTTCAATTTTATCATGAGAGGAATGATTTTGAGCAATTTTGTAATCAGTTTCCTGATTATTTCTACCTTGAAGATGAGACATTTTTAACCTTTTTGAGCTTCTTTCATCTTCTTTTATTGTTGATGAATCCATGTTGAAGTCTAATGAACGCTTTAAAATTAAATCACCTGTCACTGGATCAAGTTCAAATAATGACTGATGATTTGTATGCTCATTAGCTTTAATACCATAGGTTAATCGACCATTTTCAGCTGAATCTTCATCAACTGCATACAATCTTGCTATATTTGTTCCAGGTCTTTATAAAAAGAAAGAGATGAGAAAATAAAGCAATGCCTAAAGTATCATTTTAAATGTAATAATTCTGTGTGCCTACTTTAAGTTATCTTTTGGGGTATTCACTTCCGGAATTCTGTCGCCAGACAATTTGAAACATAAATGGTACGCATAGAATATTAGATTTTATTTTGTTATATATGACAGTAAACTGCCGGTATATTAGTAATCAAGTAGTTACCTTGTGCATAATTTTCGGGCAAATACGAGGAATAAATGCGAATGTTTAAACTGATTACGTCAGAACAACCAGAGATGACATAGACAGAGTAACAAGACAACTGAAAGAATAAAAATTGCTCATAAGGAAGAGAAAATCGTTATTTTTTACATTCATGTAAAGATGGTCAAGATAAGGGACTGCTTCTGAACAGACAGATTCGTCTTCTACATATGGATTCTAACGGCTTCTGATGTATGTAAAACATCGATTCGCAAAGTAAAATTCGGATGATTCGGAATGAGGTAGAGAACTTTAAATGCTTCGTTAACATCAGCTTTATGTTCAGTATCAATAAGGTGTACTAAAACAAAGCTATGAACAGATTTCGTTTGTAACTTGCTTAACCATGGAGAAAGATGTTCAAAAAATTGACAATGAGCATGCTTAATTATGTTTAATCTCGTCAGTTTCACATTGAGGAAACACTGATACGCTAAAAATGCTCTAATTTTTCCCCGTGTTCATTTGTTTTACAAATCGAAACTTAGTGGGACTTATCAGGGATGTGGTAGATATAAAAAGCTTTACTATTTTCACAAAAGTTGATGAGTGAAAAAATGAATTCAGTATTTTAAAAATCAACTTGTTAACTTGTCATCTTCATAATGTTTAAAACAAGAATCTTTGAATACAAATGTTTAAACTTTGTAATCCAGCCTTCGAAAATGAGAAACGTTTACCGACTTTAAAAGACATTAGTAATTTGATAAATGATTAACAAATCATGGATAGTTCAAATTTACTGAGATAAACACTGAAATCTTGGACTTTATAGGCAATAGCTAAGCAGTCCATCACTTAAAAAAGTCTTTCTTTTAATGGTTTATTATGCCTGCAAGATACAGGTTGTCTATAGTAGGGTATTCATTTGGTTGTTTCTTCTGATTTGACATGAAGTATAATTACCCTTTACTAATACCACTGACATAAGTGACAAAATATATTTGACTGAGATGAGTGAGTCAAGTGTTCATGAATTGTCTAGGCTAGGTGGTTCAGTTATAAAGCTTCCGATGTGTTTCTAAACAACATCTTCATTGCTAACTTCAACATTAGATGAGCCTTAGAGATTCTTTATGAACATAGTAACCATCTTTTCTCATGACCCTGACTGTAACTGGCTGTTTTTGAAGTCTTTCTTTATCCTCTTCTCTGACATAAGTGACATTAAGTTAACAAGAAGTTTTCTCCATTGCCTAATAAATATGATGTATACATTTGTAAAACCAGTAATAGAATATTGAAATGATTTTGAACAGCGTCAACTGTGAAAAACACTCCTTTTGGTCAAAGTGGATGTCCTCTTAGTCTTCGCATCCACTAGCTATAAGGCCATGATAAAACATTAATTCATATCAATGCATGTAGACAACTATGGAAAACTGTACGAATTCTAAACATAGGAAAGATTCAGAATGTCAGGAAAATCGTAAAAGGAATTTTCAAGAGTTGGTTTGTAAGGATTAAATTTGTTTTTCCAATTTGACCACGGAGTGATATCAGTTAGAGAAGCATTGAAAACCAGGGAGTACTGGACAGCTGTTTCATCCTAGTTTGGAATCATCGGCAATATGCGCCCACTGGGCTTCGAACCCAGGACCTTCCGGTTACAAGGCGAGCTCGTATACCATTCAGCCACTGCTCGCTAGTGACTTACTACAGGACGGAGTTTACTGCAGTTCTAGTGGGAAGTCGTGACCAGTGAGGTCCAACCAGTCAAGTGTGAGGATGGATGTCCCACCGATGACACTGGTTGATGGTCGCGCTAAATCACGAATCGGTAGAAGTTAGAATTCGTGAGCCACTGAATCGGGTCCCAGTGGCAGAATGGTATACGAGCTTGCCTTGTAACCGGAAGGTCCTGGGTTCGAACCTTGGCGGTGGGCGCGTACTGCAGATGATTCCCAAAAAAGCTAGGATGAAACAGCTGTCCAGTACTCCTTGCTGATTTTCAATGGTTCTCTAACTGATATCAATCCGTGGTCAAACTCGTAAAAGTAAAAGGAATTAACAGATATATTGAAATTAATCAATTTTATCAGAGAGTAAAGAAAATGTTTTGTATCAGATCAAAAACATGCCAAATACCAATATCAATGAATATGAGTATAAAGAGCAATTACAAAGGCGACTAATCATGTTCCGGTTTATCAGAATAGATGGTTATTATGCTCACCGAGAATTTCGAAAGCTTAAATTATACCTTGAAGTTAGCAGTGAAAGAATTATCTAAGAAGACAACGAAAGTATAGTAATTCAAATATATTAGATCAGTGAACGTAGCAACACCAGAGATGTGTTGATGAATGAAGAGACGTAGCAATATCCAGGGATTTCCCCTTCAGATTTACATTTACCAAGGAAAACGTCTTATTTAGGTGCATAGGAAAGTGCATATTCACTACAGATTTCTTAACATTCCTTCATCAGAATCCAGTCAACAATAGTGTATGCATTACTCAGGTACTTATCGTTGTTATCAATAAGCGAGATACTACTGTCAAAATAAAACAAAATAAAGGTAATAAATATTGTTTAAACAAGGAAATAAAACGCTGTAAAGCAAAATTTTTCCGCTGCAAAATGGTGTTTTCAGTTAAACAATCACCTTAAAACATATCATAAGTTAATTAGGTTTCAAAACGTTTAACAAAAACAAAAGGTTTTCTCTACTAACATAAATTGTCAAAATAATAATTATATTTGTGAAAGCGCTCATGTTTTAACTTTTAAAAGAACCTAAAAACTAATTATAATGACAAGTTTGTTGAAATGACACATACATTAGAATAAGGTTGGTTTTTATATTACTTAGTGTTTTGTATAAGTAGCCCATGTAATGAGTATTTCTGTGTAGTTATTTGTTAGTATTCTATATAGAAGGATATGTTTATTTCATTAGCTGTGAAAGATAAATGGAATATGTGAAAATATTAGAGAAGCACAAGATTCTGATGTGGTTGTGTTCTCTGAGCTGGATAGTATTTGCGAAGCTTTCACACCCTACTAGGTACATCTTCAGCGCATATTCATTTGAAGCACAAGATTCTCATACAATTTCTTAGTAACGCTAAACTGAGATTTGTTGAGTAGATGTCTGTAAATTGCTCAGTGATTTCTACTCTTTGATTACTGATCTACACAGTGAGAGTGTTATTGTCATAATTAATAAGTGCAATAATTTTAAAATAACCAGGACAAGGAATGCGCAGTTTGAGTTTGACAACAAAATCTATCTCTAAGTGAAGGACATAGCACCAGGTTCACCCCCAAGGTCCTCTGTTAGCCAACATGTTTATGGCAAGATTAGAGAATCGTCCACTCAAAAATGTAATCAAGGGTCTCTCATTCTATTGTACACGCATGGATGATACTTTTATCTTGCATAAGAATAAAATCGATACTGAGGTCCTTCTCAAAACGTTCAATATGGCTCACCCACAAATTATATGGGAAAGGATAACCATAAAAATTTGTTAAGCTCTGTATTCTGAAAACAGGCAGGGAAAAATGCCTACATTGCAGGATATATATATATATATAATTTTACCGTTCAAAGGAGATGCAGGCACTGAATCCTTGGAAGTAAAACTCCAACAAATAACAGCTAAAACATTCTCTGCCGCTATACTACGTTTAAAGTTCACATGTTTTATCGTTCTAACACAGGTGAAAGATAAGCTACCGACTCTGGTTACTTCAATGTATATTTATAAATTTAACTGTTCTTATGCAGAAACTTGCATAGGTACAAGGTCTTAGAGAGCCTACCATAGCCTTTCTGAGAATTATCCAACGTAGTGAGGTTAAGGAGTCACAAAGTCAATCAAGAGTTCCCTATCTGCACGTCATGTGGAGACAGAGCACAAGAATGATAAAAGTTTAGCCTTTACAGTTCTATACAAGGTGCGCCCCAAATTGGTACACCTTCGGTTGCTAAGCAAAGCTGAAGCAGTTGCCATTAAATTTTTTATACCAGTCTATATGTTCAGAAACAGCTTGTCCAATCCCTCTCCCTCCAATGGCCTTTAACCCCAACCTAGGATATTTATCTCAATCAGTGACACTGGATACCTGTAAACATTACATTTTTCTTTTTCTTCGTACTCCTAACTTTTTATCAGTGTGGTGCTGTGCTATATTTGCATATTTCAATCTTAGTTTCACAAATTATTATTATTATCGCTATTCTTATCCACTAACTTACATCCCTGAAACTTGATCCTACTTGATTCTATTGATCCACATTGTTTCAAGTGCCTACGACTAATATTTCATTATATAATTGTAAAGCTTGGAGAATTTACCTAAATCGAGTCCAATAATTGTCATATTGGGAATATTTAAACTAAAGGAATGTTTGTAAAGTCGTATATGAATAATAAATGTCATACCATGGTGCTACGTACTACTGACTGACAATGAGTAGTTGAGTACCATACATTAATCAGTAGCATCTGCTAGATAGATCGAAGTCATCTGAATACCGCTGAGGCCATTCTTCTCATTTGCAGTCAAAGTCATCAATGATGCACCTGATTCGATTGTATTTAGAGAGCTAGATGAGTACAAACCGGTTTGATCCCACTGTAATCCCACTATGTTTTATTCACAGATTATCACAAGAAAATTTGAAGATCTTGATTTATTATGTAAATAAATGCAGCTTGTAAACGAGGGTAAAACAGCACGTCAACACAAATGAATACGACTATAAGGAAACCTCCTGGGATGGTTAG